AATGGTATCAAAAGGTCTCAATTGATGTAATTATGGTCGTGAAACAAAGTGGGGGAGCTCACCACCGACATTTGGATCTATTTGGATGAGTTGTTATAGTTCCTAGACTAAGATGTTCTTCTAGATCAGCTGTGGCTAGAGAAAGGATGATGTCAAGGTTAACTTGGGGAGAATCACAACATTGATAAGGTACCATGCCCAATGAATGTGTCAAGATGACCAGGCAAGTCAGATTTGTTACTATATGTATATTGCGTGAATGGGAAAATTCAATCGGTTGTCTGTGAGGTAAGTTTGCCACATTCTTGGAAAAGGCTTGATGTCGGTTAGGTCATTATTGATGGGTTTATCAAGTTCGCATTCTTTTTATCGAGATTATCTACTTATGCTTCACAGAGTTGAGATGGATCTACATGGAGTTTAATTTTATGATTTCATAATGTGATACTCAGTTCATGTTGCATCTTTGGAGAGAAATTCAGTGAGAGTTTAGTACACAAGTGGAATTGACATGACTTCTTCGCTCACAGACTAACAGCCAATCCAAGAAAAAGATTTAGATTCTCGAAGATTTGTAGAGGACTTGTGTGGTAAAATATTATGGAGTTTATTCGGAATGGATATGAGATATTTTCAAGTTTTAAGATGTACTACCTGTATATAGTTTCACTTGTCAAGGAATTTGAGATTGGCATTGGATCCTACCGGGAACTTAGAGTGTTTCTCATGAGTGTTGGTATGGCCATGCGAAAATAGAGAGATGAAAGGAAGTAAGTTTTGAATTCATTAGAGTTCTCTTCAGACCGAATGTTTTGATTGAGGTATTGTTGAAGGCGAGCTGAGGTTAATTAGGCCTTAGATTATTTCAGTAATGTTGCTTCTTGTCGGGATTGTTATGCGGGTTTGGTTGAATTCATAGTGTTCTTGGAAGAAGTCAAGTGGTGTCTTCAAAAGGGAATTAAGAGTTTATGAAAGGGTTGGGTCAGTGTGATATTTTCTTGGACTGGGATTGTTAAGTAACCATTCAATCTATTGAGGTAATTGTGTGTTGCCGACTCATGGTGGATTAAAAATTTGGGTATGGAAGATTTATAGGTTGGTTGCTTAGAAAGGTTCAGTTCTGATGGTTTTGATTTCGTGGAGACAATCTTCAAATTCCTAGGTTATGGGACACTTTTGGAAGGTATGATATTGCTTGGAAAAATTTTCAGGTTGATGATGTTGTTCTTGTACTTATGGGTCGGTGCTATTATTTGATATGGTACAACCTAGAGGATCGAGATAGAGTTTTAAAGGTTGCGGTTTATCATAAAGAAGAAGTTTTTTCGAGCTAAGTGGTAACATGGATGGTTTGAGTTGCTTAGTGGTATAGTAGTACTATCTTATATCACCCGAGATGGGTGTAAGTCATAGAAGATGCGTTGTGGAGGAGATCTACGAATGAGTTTACTAAGTGTTACAGAGATGGGGTGATTTGCAATCAGTTAGCTCGAGATTCTTAATGCTTGACATGAAAAGGTGGACGGAAATGTTCTTGATGGGATGATTGTGTGTATGGGTTTACAGTTGTCTTTGGATATTCCTAAGACGACTTTGAGGACTCGTTATGGTCATTATGAATTGACGGTGATATCATTCGGGTAGACTAATGCTCTAGCGACATTCATGGATTTGATGAACCAGGTGTTAGAGCCTTATTTGGAATCTTTTGTGATCTTATTCATTGATGATATCTTGGTTTACTCTCTTAGAAGGGAGAAGCATGAGCAACATTTGATGATTGTGCTTTAGACCTTGAAGGAGAAGCAACTTTATGCTATGTTTTCTAAGTGTGTATTTTGGTTGGATTCAGTTGCATTCTCGGGGTACGTGGTGTCTTGTGATGTAATTAAGGTTGATTCAAGCAGATTGAAGTCATTCAGAATTGGCCTAGACCTACTACATCTACTGAGATCAGGAGTTTTTTAGGTTTGGTAGTCTATCTTCATTTTGGTAGAGGGGTTTTCTACCAATGCAGCTCTATTGACTAGGCTGACTTAGAAATGTGTTCCTTTTCGATGCTCAGATGATTGTGAAGAGAGTTATCGAAAGCTCAAGGTGTCTTTGACTACAACCCAAGTGTTGGTATTACCACAGGTTCAGGGCCATACATGGTGTATTATGATACTTCATGCGTTAGTATTGGTGCAGTGTTGTTGCATGATGGCAAGGTGATTTCATATGCATCACGACAGTTAAAGCCTCAAAAAAGGAAATATCCAATTCATGTTTTTGAGTTGGCGGCGATTGTTGATGCACCGAAGATTTGGAGGCATTATTTATATGGCTTGCGATATGAGGTTATACTAATCATCACTGTCTTCAACACTTGTTAAAGCATAAGGATTTGAATTTGAGGAAGCAGAGATGAGTTGAGCTGCTTAAGGATTATGATATCACTATCTTATATCATCCGAGTAAAACAGATGTGGTAGCGGATGCCTTGAGTAGTAAGGTGGAGAGTACATGTAGTGAGAATATTTGGTGTGAATGATTATAAAAGGTTAGTGATGGGATATGTGGTCCACAATATTATGGATGGATAGATTATGCTCAAGATTAGTGGGCGGTATCTCTCAGGTGTCATGAAATGAGAAGTGTGGTTCAGGCGTAGTGGGATATGGTTCGTTGTGTTTGAAGTGGTGATCACGTTCACTGGGGACTTTGGAATTTAGAGGACTCGAATATATGATGTTATGGGGTTTCACGAGGTTTTATTGAGACATGTGTGATATGTTTAGATAAAATATAAGGAAGGAAAAGCTATCAGAGTGGTTTCTTGTTAACTCAGTCGATGATGGGTTGTGATTATAGCTGTGATTGAGATACATGATTGAAAAATTTTTGAAGGGTCCGTGACTGGAAAATAAGGGTATATTTCTTTAAAATATGTAATTCTTATAATCTATTTTGGAAGAAACTAATATTGGTTTGAATAGCTACTAATAATCCGTTAGATCGCATGTTCTATAGAGGTCAGATTTGCTTATACAATGCAAGGTATCATACAAATTTATCATTTGAGAAATTGCAATCATCAAAGGTATTTCACTTCAACGGGTTTGATAAGAGTTGAAGTATACAATATGTTTGTTGCTGTCACGCTGCCCTGCGCTGGGAAATTGCCCAAAATATCTTGCAACTGTTTTCTGTGCCCCAGGCAACGCGACGTGCTAGCCTGGGCACTAGTCTGGGCAGATTTTATACTTTGTTTTCTTTTTGCTTCAAATCGTACACTTTCGTCCCACATTTCTTCCGGGTGACTCCCACACATAAAAATACCACGAATTAGCATAAATTATTACATTACACATACAAAATCATGAAATATGAGTAAAATAGGAGGTAATATGCATATAAATATACATACTTTAAGCCGAATATCAAGCATCACAATAAACTGTACATGGTCCCAATCCTGAAGACAAAACCAACACTAGAGTTGTAGTCAAAGTTGTCTTGAGCTTCTGAAAGCTCTCCTCTCACTCATCCGACCACCTGAATAGAGCGCCCTTCTGAGTCAACTTAGTCAATAGGGCTGCAATAAATGAAAATCTCTCTACAAAGCGACGGTAATAACCAGCCAAACCCAAAACGCTCCTGATCTCTATAGCGGTAGAAGGTCTAGGCTAACTCTGAACTATCTCAATCTTCTTTGGGTCCACCTTGATCCCATCACAAGATACCATATGACCCAAGAATGCCATCAAGTCCAACCATAACTCGCACTTGGAGAACTTAGCATATAGCTTCTTCTCCCTCAAACTCTAGAGCACGGTCCTCAAATGTTGCTCATGCTCCTCCATACTGCGGGAATACACCAATATATCATTAATGAACACAATGACAAAGGAATCCAAATAAGGCTGGAACACACTATACATCAAATACATGAAGGATGCTGGGGCATTAGTCAAACCAAAAGACATCACCAAAAACTCATAATGTCAATAACGAATCCAGAAAATAGTCTTAGGAATGTACAAGCCCTAATCTTCAACTGGTGATACCCCGATCTCAAGTCAATCTTCGAGAACACCCCTGTCACCCTTTAGCTAGTCAAACAAATCATCAATGTGCAACAATGGATACTTGTTCTTGATGGTCACCTTGTTCAACAGTCGATAGTCAATACATATTCTCATAGATCCATCATTCTTCTTACCAAACAACACCGGAGCACCCCAAGGTGAAACACTAGACTTGATGAAACCCTTATCCAATAACTCTTGCAACTGTTCATTCAATTCCTTCAACTCCACTAAGGTCATATGATACGAAGGAATATAGATAGTCTGCACGCTCGGTGCCAAATCAAGGCCAAAATCATTATCCTTATTAAGTGCCATGCCGAATAGGTTTACAGGAAATACATTCGGATAGTTCCTCACTACTGGAATTGACTCAACAGTAGGAGTGTCGATACCGACATCTCTGACAAATGCTAGTTATGCCAATCATCCCATCTCAACCACCTATTGAGACTTGAAGAATGACATCACTTTGCTAGGAGTGAAACCTAGAGAACCCTTCCACTCCAACCCTGGCAATCCCGGCATCGCCAACTTCACTGTCTTAGCGTGAGAATTAAGAATAACATGGTACAGAGATAACCAATATATACCCAAGATCAAACCAAAATCCACCATATCTAACAATAGAAAGTCCATCCTCGTCTCAAACCATAAACAGTGATCCGTCATGACCCATAAACGATCTACACAACCAGAAATTGGGCCTATGGCAACGATTTGTTATGCAACGGTTCCATAACCGTTGCGATAGAACGTCTATAGCAACGGTTTTAACCGTTGCATAAGAATCGTTAGGGTATTGGGACACTTTGCATGTAAACCATTGCATTACTATAATAACCGTTGCTGTAGAGAAGTCTATTGTATCGTTGTTTTATAACCACTACAATAGATATATCTAGGGCAACGATTCTGTGTTTTTTCCTTATTGCAACATTTTTCAATTCCCTTCTAATTTTCCCCAAAACAGAACTTCTTTTAAGCGTCTCTTTTTTCAATTTTCTATTTCACTTTGTATGTTTTGCCAAATATATATACTTAAACACTCTTATAACATTTCTCTAGAGAACCCATCGAATCCCTCTAAAAAATACATCAAATCACTTCTAGAAACCCTCTCATCGAGTAAAGGCACAATGCCGACCCAGTTCTTATCGAGCAAAGGGAGATCTCGAATCTAGATTTAGCAAAGGGATATCGCAGATCCAGATGTCATCAAGCAAATCTAGAACGCCGACTATATTTCATTTTCAAGCTTCTTCAGCCTAGACTTCATCTCCCATTTTTTGTCCAAAACGAGAATCTAGAACTTGTAATCAGTCCTTTACACCAAAAATCATCATACAAAATCAATTGTAGAATCCCCAAATTCATCTTAAAACAACTCTTCACCAACTGTAGTTTGAAGTCTTAGAGATTTAGAGATGTGTTATCAAAACTAGGGTTTGCAGATTTATCGAGATCCCTGGTAGGTCAAAGTATTTGGTAAATTTTGCTCAATTGAAGGTCCGTTTTCTCTTCCCTTTTGGTTTTTATATGTGATATTGCATGTGATTTCACAGTTATAATGCTCCTAGATTTTGGATTTAATGAAAGTGTTTGGTTGTTATGCGTATGAACTTAATCAGGTTAATATGATCTTCATTGAATGAAATTGGGAATTTATGTCAGGTTATAAATTTTCCTACTACCTGGAGTTTCTTACAATTTATATGGTTGTCTATGCTCACTCTTCTCTGGTTTGAACTTAGATTTTTCTCAAGCATTTGTGTCTTGAGCCTCTAAAGTAGATTTAGATGAGTTTCTCTAGGATTTTGTGAATTTTTCAATTGTTTTGCTTGTTTTTGGACAGTAGTTTCTCAATTTTTTACACGTGCAAAGGTATCTATAATTGACAATACAGGAATGGAGTGAAGGAGCTGAACTATGTGAACAATTATAGAGTGTTAAAGTGATTTTAGCTCCAGATTAAGTAATAGTTACGTCGTTACGAGTTGGTGATTTTTAATTATTATTAAAGCATCCATAAAAGAACTTTGGTCATTGTGTTTTGTATAGGGTTAACTTTCTTTTGCAGTTCGAAATATGCCTACTATCATAAGCATTTTGTATTTTGAGTTTGTTGTTACCGAAACTTACTAGTAATATTTAATTTACTAACGAGAATAGTCTACTTGTATGATGAGAGCTTGATGAGAATGTATTAACTTATTAATGGAAGCTAGTTTCTTCATGGTAGTAATTTTTATTGTTCTGATGATTTTTTTCCTTTGAGCCTTGAGTTGAGACGTACGAGAAAAAGAAAAGAAAATGAATATATAAACCTTGTGTGATGGAGAAAAGCAAGAGAGAAACTATATAGCTATATAAAAACTTGTGTGAGAGGGAGAATATAAGAGAGATCCAAGTCACTTTCTTATTGAATAAGTGAGTAACTAATCCTAACACTTGTTATCCTACTGCATTATTGAGTAACTAATCCCAACACCTACTATCATTCACTTCAGTACTATTTCTTTTATATTATATATTGGTATTCAATCATAAAAAGGTAAAATAATACCGGCTTGACTATCCGGGGTGAATTCTTTTAGATAGAAAACTGGGAGATAAAAATCTTTCGCGATACCTGCCTCTTTGGTTTTCTATATTTTTTATTTCATGTGAGATTTTTGTTAGAAGAATTTACTGATTCATATGGAAATTGACATTTTAAAAATTTAAGATTCATAATTATTTCTTTAATAGATTTACTGGTAAAGTTAAGATGGCTAGCCCAATGATTATTGTAGCTTGTGTATGAGCTGCAGGACCATAGCTGCAACAGTATCCAGTCCATAAGCTGCCGTGTCAGATACCCCAGTAGCCTGCTTGAATTTTGTATCAAGCGATGAAAGTTTGAAGCAAATGGAGGTTTGTTTTTGGAGTATAGGCTATAAGTCACTATTGACTTTCTGAAGAAAAGATAAGTTAATTATTTATAATTCTTGGTTTTAGACTACTGTTCAAGCTTTATGTCAATTATTATTTGGTTACGTTATTGTGAGTTCCTGATTATTTGTGCGTCATGACTTGTCTTAGGAGTAACAGGGCTGCTAGAAGCATATGTCAAGAGGCAATAGATTTAGAATTAAGCATTAAGGAATAGCAGTTATTGGTCAGATTGGTTTTTCTAACAAGGTACATATCTTAAAGACTATTATCCTTTAGTAGTGTGTGCAAACTTTCTGCTATTGATATAGATCAATTGTATAGCTTCTTCCCTATAGAAGGCATATTACTTTCATACTACCTAAGCAATTAACATGAAAACCTGATGTGTGAGTAGTTAAAGTCTTTAAATGAAAATAAGGACAATAACTACTGAAAAACCTAAATAACAGCCATGGAATAAGCTGCTTACTGAAAGAATATTATGAGAAAGTCTATCCATCAGAAGAGAAGTTATGAATACTATATTGAAAGTGTCAAAATGATGAAAATTGCAGATGACTATTACGTATTATTGCTTGAATAGAAACTTGGAGGCTAAATAATTAATCGAACGACTTTATATTTCAAAGGTTGTTCATTTACAAAGATGGCCTAGCTTGATTAAGTAAGCTGGATACCACCATGATCAAGACTCCTCATACAATCTACAATTTATAGAATTCATTATGCTTTAGAAAAGCAGTGAGCTTTATTTACTCTGTATGCCACAAATTATATCCATTATTACCTGCCTGGATTATCCAAAAGATGTTAAAGATCTTATCATCTTTTATTTTAGACAACCTTTCTGGTGCAATATCTTTTTTTATATTTACTTGTGACCTTGGTGCTTCGGTTGCTTTTTAAGTTGGAGATTGTTGTCTTTTTGAGAACTATGCTTCAAAAGCATAGAAAGCAAAACCCTCGACTTTTAGGATTGGTAAGACCATAACCAAGTTCTTCAACTAATTAATGAACATCTTATTCTTACCAATTAATCAGATTATTGATACTACAGGACTGCAACACTATTCTTGCTAAATAGCTTAGACTCTTATTGTACTATATGTTGCTGTTCTACTGCTTTCGAGTATCTCACCTGAAAATGGATCTAACAGACGAGGTCATGCTATAATATTAACGGGTAGATACTCTCTGAACCAAACAAAAAAAATATATGTTGCACTAAAAGGGTGTAATTAATCTTCATTTAAAAGTATAACAGGAAAATGCAGTCTATTAGTAAGATTAAATGACTAAACTTCATTTAAAAGCTTTAGCTGCTCAAGATGTAGCTAAGGCTGCCTTTGCAGTAAGAAAAGAGCAACCTGTAGTTATTGAAGCCAAGGAAAACCTCGAGTAAGTGTCTATGATTATTTTCCAGCATGAAAAACCAAAGATAGGGTGGCAAAATCTTCCTCACTTGTAAATGATAGTTTCAATTTTCTATAAAATTTATACTGACATAAGTGTTTAGTGATTTTATACTTTATTATTTGGAGTGCTTACAACATCAATTAATTGATGGCTCCTAGAAATGATTGGATGTAATATTTACATCTATAAGAAGAAAAGGTTTCCTTTGATATTGAGATCTCAAAAAATTAATATGTTTTTGGTGTAATACTGCTTGTGAATATATTCTTTTATGAAACTTTTACTAATTATTTATTTATAATTTTTTGTAGGTGAAGCAAATGAATGAATGATAGATAATAGCAGAGAAGAACTTGGATGTATTAGTGATCGTTGCTAGAATTTCAGATGTTCTAGGAATTATTTATTTTTGAAATTTGTGAAAAATTAAGTTCGCCATTATATATTTTGATACACAAGTTAGATATTTTGGATTATGATTTTATTGATGAATAGTTTTCTTTTGTGAATTATGCAAATCTCAGTGCATTATATTTTATTATATAGGGTAATTACTTATCACAACCAAATAAAAGGTTAAATCCTCACATTATTAAGTTGTTGCAATAGGTTCCAAAAACTGTTGCAATAGACATAATAAACCGTTGCAATACACTAGGAAACCGTTGCAATAGCCTTAACAAATTGTTGCAATAGTCTTAACAAACTGTCGCAATAGCTCGTAATAACCGTTGCTTTATATGCATAACAACCGTTGCAATAGCCTCAACAACCGTTGTATGAAGTGATATTGCAATAGGTTCTCAGCCGACCCATTAGACCAAATAACCGTTACAATAGATGAGCCTATGGTAACGGTCCAAAACCCTTGCAATAGAAGTCCTACTGTACAGTTGTAGAACCGTTACAATAAATTGTTGCAATAGACCTATTGGCACGCGATCTGGTGAAACGGTCCTTAAACCATTGCAATAGACCTATTGGCTAGCCTAATAGAATCACTAACAAGTGTGTAGTCACATGCACAAAAGCATTAAGAGAACCACGAGGCATATCTAGACAAGAAGCAATGTATGATGACACATATTAATAAGTAGAACCAAGATCAAACAATACTGAAGCATCCTTATGGAACACAGAAACAATACTTGTAATCACTATATCAGAAGCAATGGCATCGGTCCTCCCTGGATACACATAGCATCTGGTCTGACCTCCACTAGACTAAGCTCCCCCTTTAGGATGACCATGTCCCAAATGACCTCCACCTTGAGCTGGCTGTGTGGGTAGTGTAGCAACTAGTGCGGGAATCATAGTCTGACCTCCTTGCTGCACCAGACCTCTGCAAGGATAGGGGCAATATTTCCTGACATGCCGCAACTCTCTACACTCATAACAACCTCTGACTGGAAATGACTGTAGGGCCTAAGTCGGACCCCATGAACCAAAATAACTAGTAGAAGAACTCAGTATCGACTAACCCTGAAAAAATGGAGCGCGGTAAGAACTCTGAGTTGAGAGTGCACTGAATGAAGACTACACTGCAGCTCCTTGACTGGGTAGTGGTGAATGATAAGCTCGCCTGCTAGAATGGCCTCTCCCAAATTGACCTTGGTCTCCAGACGAGGCACCACCAAAGCTACCTGAATGTTAGGACCACTTGTCTCTACCCTGCGTAATCTCCCTAGCCTCACTGCTGATGCGCTCAACATGACATGCTATCTCCACAACCTGGTGAATTAAAGTTCTGGTCTCGCTCTCTATCCATAGCAAGGCGAATAATGTAGTGAATACCCTCAACAAATCTTCTCACTCTCTCATCCTCAGTGGGAATCAAAGCAGTTGCATGACGAGATAGCTTTGGAAACTTCATCTCATGCTCAGTAACTAACATATGAACCTACTAAGGTACTCAAACTACCTCCTCAGCTCCTATCTCCTAGTGCATGGCACAAACTGCTCCAAAAAGACTCTGGAGAACTAAGTACATGTAAGAAGAGGTGATCCTGTTTGTCGACCCATCTCGTAAACCTGCTACCACCTCTTCGCCAGAACCTGCATCTGGAAGGCAGTGAAGTCAACTCCTTTGGACTCGACTAGTCCCAAATTGTGCAGAATGTTATAGAATCCCGGAGCATCCTCTGAAGGTGTACCACTGAAGTGAGTAGGATGCAACTTTATGAACTTATCTAACCTCTTCAACTCATCAACTGACATCGTGGGTCTATTATTAGGCTTTGTGGAAATAATAGGCTGAACTTCCCCGATTGGTAACAATGTAGGAGTTTGATAACCATGCGCCGCCTACTTCCGGGTAGGAGTACCTAGAGTCTGTGCTCCGCCCATGCTTAGGAAGTAGCTGGCACAGTAGGAAATACCTCAGCCTGAGCCAAACTCTCGAAAAAACAAACCATGTAGATCACGACATCATGAACAACTGGCGAGATAAATAAGCCTTTGGGAACCTGAGCTGGTACCTTTGGCTCCACATAATCATCAACCTGCTCCTCAATAGGAGCGACTGGCGGCTCCATAGTAGTTGCATGAGCAGGGGCGTGCTACGCCCATACCTCAGCCTCGAACCTTGCCTCTCACGGCCCTAGCATGGGTTACAGCGCCTGCTCAGCTGCACCAGATGATCGTGTCCTCCATATATGAGAGAATAAAAAATCAAGGATTTAGACTTAGAGGTAAACAAATCTGCACGACAAAGAATGAAAGAAGTGAAGTTTCGTAACATCCTTGTAGCCTCTCAAAGAAAAGTACATATGTCTCCGTACCGATCGGCAAGACTCTACTAGACTTGCTCATGACTCGTGAGACGTAAGCAACCTAGTGTTCGGATACCAACTTGTCATGGCCCATAAATCTCACTGGAGTTGTGATGGCACCTAACACCGCTTGCTAAGAAAGCCATCGATCAATATAGAGAAACAAACTTAAATAAAAATATTAAATAGTCTCAACAACAGAATAATCATAAATAACTGAAGTCTATAGCAATAATACAACCATCCCATGATCTGGTGTCAGCGAGTACATGAGCGCTACAAAATTAAAAATACAGAGTGTGATCCCAAAATACAAAATTTTCTGAAAGATAGAACAGTAATAATATAAACTAAGAGAAGAGGGGCTTCAAGGCCTACAAATGGAATAACAGCAACCATGAAATCTCCCAAAGCTGATACTGGTGCCACACCCTAGCAATCGCCCCTCATAGCAGCACCTAGATCTGTACCAAAATATGCAGAGTGTAGTATGAGTACAACCTACCCCATGTAATCAATAAGTAACATGCCTTACCTTGGGCCGAAAGTAGTGACGAACTTGGCAAGGGCCGATATTCAATTCCAATAGCCAATAACATCAATAACGACAAAACAACAGCAAAAAGGAAAGTAGGTCAAGTAATATTAGATTCAACCTTTTCACAAATAGAAGGAAAATAAAGATGCTTTTCAAGAATAGTAGTTAAGGCATAAATATTTCCACAAAAATCACCTAAACATGGTTTTTATCAATTTAACTGTGATTCCAAGTTCATCACATCAATTAGGGACATCAAATACCAATAAGCATGATGGAAGAAACACAACCCAATACTTGCATGACAAGTACACATGCCAGAATCAACAATATCAAAGTCAAATTATCAAGTATATCAAATACCAACACATGTATAATGCCTAGCCCAATTTCCATTCAATCATCACACACAACAACACTCAACACTATACGGGTGCCTGACACAAGTCCCTTACCAAGCATATATATGACCCGTGTGCCTGCACCAATAGATTATTACCTAGCTCCGGAAGGGCGGGTCCTTGCCCAAGCACTGTCCGCATTCAAGTCAATGATCAATATCATTTAGCCCAATATGGGGCCTGGCACACGCGTCACCTCATAATAAACACTAATAAGCCCAATGCGGTGCCTGGTGTACTCGTCACCTTACTATCAGTATCAAATCGGCTCTACAACACAACATCAATCATCAACCACTCAAGTCTCATATCTCACAGAACTCAGCTAAAAACCATGTCACACATATAAGGGCATCAACATCATGTGAGATAACATATAAAGAATGCATAGAGACATAGATATAATACGTTAATGTAACATTATGACTGAGAATATGACCACCATTAAGGCAAATAGCTCAATATAGCAAGAATAGACCTATCATTTCTCAAACAGATAAGCACATAGCCTAAACATGATTTTTAGCATGAATAATAGCTCAAGTAGTCATACAAGTAGAGCAAACACGAAAATAATGTGGCGTGATAGCAAAACACATCACATACTAGCCTAACGTCTACCTGGATCATGAATAACCCCGATGTATGCACATATGCGCGTCACCTAGCACACGCGTCACCCCCAACATATCTCAAAAAGCATAGCCAATAGGAAATTACCCTCAAACCAAATTTGGACAAGTTACTTACCTCAAAGCGCGTGAATTAATACCCCAAAAAGCCCTTCATATGCAAATCGACCTCCAAATGGCTCGAATATAGTCAAAAATAACTCAGTATCATCAAACATAGGCATAAAAATTGATTCAATAAAGCTCCAATATTTATCAAATTGCAAAAAGTCAACCAAAATATCGACCAGAGCCCAGACCCCAGAACCCGACAAGTCACAAATTTCGATTACCCATTCGAACACGAGTCCAAATATATAAGTTTCATCCAAATCTGAATCCGAATCAAAGTTCAAATCCTTATTTTTCACTCTCCAAAACCATAGTCAAAATCAAAATCCCCAAATATCTCCTTCAAATCCCATGATCTAATGTAATAATCCATGGGGAAACACGATATAATGTTAAAATAAAGTATAAATCACTTACCCTCTTGCCTTGCGTGAAAATACCCTTCGCAAATCTCCCGTCTCCAAGTCTAGGACTCAAAATATGAAATAATGGGTCTAAGTATCGAAATTAAACAACTTATAATTCTACCCAGAGCTACCCTTCATGAACACGACTACTGCCTCGCGTTCGCGAAGCACAAAAATCCCCTGCCTCAATTAACCCTTCGTGAACGCCATCCCCAGACCGCGAATGCGATGAACAAATCTCCACTGGCCTACGCGAACGCAATCGCCTTCCCGCAAATGCGAAAGCCAAATGCCTAACCAACCCCAGCCTGCCTTACTCTACGCGAGCGTGATGCCCATGATGTAAACATGAAGGACAAGCTGCCTCACCCATTGAAAACATGACCCCTGTGTCGCAAATGCAAAGAAGAAAACTTTACCAACCCAAACAAGGCTCTACGATCGCGAAGCATACCAAATACTAGCAGTTGTTCATCAATTCAACCAAGCTCCAGGTGGTCTGAAACTCACTCGAGCCATACGACACCCCATCGTATCATACCAATAAGTCCGTAAATACTACCCAGACATATCCCAAGCCTCCAAACACATGTGAGATCACCATATCTATGAATTGATTCCGATCAAACCAACTCTGAATGCAACCAAA